ACTAGAAAGGATCAAATGCCAAACTTTTGTCAAGCTTCAACATAACCTGGTCTTTCAGTTTACACCTCACACTAAAACTGAAATTTCGCTACAAACAAGCAAGCAGTTTTTACATATATGTGCAACAAATATTGATAGTACATAGGCAGTTCGGCTATTATACATTCGACGCTGACTCCTGTTCTTTTCTTGACGTTTTCTTTCTTGTTCACGTTGGCGCTTTAGTAGAGCATCATAATAAGTTTTGACATATGCATCCTGTATTTTCTTTGCTTCGTCATCAGCAATTGTGGAGTTTATGTCCTCATAAAGCTCGAAGCTTTCAGTGTCCCGTGACTCCCGTCCATCTTCATCTCTTTGCCGGCCTCTCTACGTTGCTCTTTTGTGAGAGTCATCCCTTCTTTAATCATCCATGGGGGAAAAACCTTCATTGTTGTACTTGTGTTTGCTGATTTGACATCTTCTCCTTCTTTCTCAATACCAGAAAAAGCAACATCTTAAGTCCATTTCGACCATACAATTATACGCAAAACCACACGTGTGGTGGAGGTGGAGATGCGCTTGAGGTTGCAAATATGAAATTTTGAAAATTACGAATGTTCAAAAAGTTTAACTTGCATTTTAAGATTGCAAAAATAAGATATTTCAAATTTGTAGAGTATAGGATTACAAATTTACCTCTTTTCCAAATAAAAATATATAAGAAGTGATATTATTGACAAATAATTCGGTAAATAAAAGAAACTGTGAAGCGATTTTTCATCTTTCCTATGCCCATTCACCGAAGGGAAAAATTCTCCTTTTTCAGCCCGTGGCCACCCTTTCTTCTGCTTGAAATCTGCAGCAACCAAATCGCAACCCTCAGATCCGGCCATTGCCGAGATAGGAATGCTCTGCCCGCCCCGCCTGTTGCACTTCAGTGGGCGAGGGTCGGCGTTGAGTCTTGTCGCGTCGCCCTCCTGGCCAGGTTTGGGCAGCTGCATTGCCGTTTCGCCTCCTATCTTGAGTCGGTCGGAGGCCGATCGCTTGGCCTCTTGCCAGTCGGTTTCCTTCAGGTAGGCGACTCCCGGTAGGCCTGTCGCTGCAGACGAGTCCCCCTCTGAGTGCTCGAGTTTGGGTTCTTCCGGCGCAGCTCTTTGAGCCCGACCTCTTCGGGTCTCTTCTTTCCCTTGTTTGACAGCTTCTAGAGCTCAAATTTGGACCGAGGTTATTTTTAGCCGTTGTTCTAGTTGAAGTTTTGAGTTATTTGATCAATTATTGTAGCTTTTGTGGTGTTGCTCATGGGGTTGTGAGTTTGGCTTGTGCATTGCGCTGAGTTTTTGTTTGAGGTTGCTCGTGTGGATACGTTGGGCTAGTTAGTTCTTCGAGTCGCTTTTTGTAAATTCACCTTTTGAGATATAAAATCTAGATAAAAATAAAAAATAAAATTGGTCAATGGGGGGAAAAAAAAGGCAATAATTGTACCTTGTCACAAAATTATACGGGTGATCCAACAAACTTTATAAAGACATGGGCCATTATAACTGGAAATGAAAATGACGTTGGCCCATAAGAGTAAAATTATTGGGCCATAGTACCCTCGTGATTGGTATGGTCCAATTCGAAAATACCAAACAGCACGCCCATTTATTAGATTGATCTCACCAAAATAAATGTCACCAACAAACTTTTCGTTAATACTAGTACGTACCCCGTGCGATGCACGGAACATAGATATTAAATGAGTTATTTTAATGCCTTGTCCGTTTAAATCTTAAAAGTATAGTGTTATTATCTATTTTCTACCTCTTTTGATCAACGTTAAGTCTAAAAAATAATAAGGTTATAAGTTTTTTTTCATATCTTTTAACCAGCATTGTTTTTTAGCCAGAACTTAAATATGAGTATGTTAGGGCTAGCTTGTAAAATAATTAATATATTATCTCACTAAAATATTTATACTAATAAAACTTTAATTTCAGTATATAAATTTATCCTTGATATAAAAAAAAGTAACAGTTTTATTTATTCTTGTTCATCATATAATATTTAATTATTATTTTATTATATAATAAAAAAGAATAGTGTTAAATAGTTTTTTTAACACAAAGATAATATTAAAAAAATATAAATATCCACACAAATATAATAACCAAGTTTTTTTAATAGTTTTTTATAAGTTTTATAAAAATATATTATAATTTGTTAGTGTATTATTCAAAATCGAAATATTGATTTGTAGTTTTTAGAAACAGAATTTTGATTGTTTTTTCTCACCTCATTTTATGGGATTTTTTTATGTCAAAATAAGAAGGATTAAAAACAATATGTAAAATACCCAAGAGCGTTTGGATGAGATGACTTGGGTCTCTTCCAGCTTAACCAGTGGTCTCGAGTTCGAGCCCTGGGAATGCAGCAGTGTTAAAACTCTTGAGGGAGAGCTTTGCCGCCCTTGTGGTCCTACCCGGCTCGATTCCGCTTTAGTCGGTTCCCATGTGGATCAGAAAACCGAAAGGTCCCTGTACCAAAAAAAACAATATGTAAAATAGGAAACTTGATTAAAATTATAAATGCATTAATTACTACTTGATAAAATTAGAAGTTCATTAATTAAAGTTGACTTTTCTACCTACTATACTTAGTAAATAGGTTTCCTTT